CAAATATCCTGGAAATAATCAGTTGTTCTGGAAAAGACTGTCTTCGACTGTCGGTAGGAGAAACCGCAGTACGACATCACGTGGAACGAACTTGCAGCGATCTTTTCGGCATTGAGTCTATTTGAATTTTCTGTGAAATAGAATAAATATAACTTTAATTGAGCGGTGGTCAAAGTAATGTCAATCTACAAATGGCCTGTAGTGAGAACAACAAAGCGTGCCACAAAAGCTAATAAAGTGTAGTCTAATGGGTCTACATTCGTTAGCTAAGCTAGCAGCTCAGAGAGGCTAACTCTCCAGTGTCTACGTAGTCTGCAGACTGGAGACGTTGGTTTTACACTAGGTTGGTTGGTGACAAAAGCTGCTGCCACCACTCCTGGAAAGGTCCTGGAAAGGTCCTGGAAAAGGACGTTTGAACCCTGTAAATCATAGAATGTGAAATCTGATTGTTGTTTGTGTTGCAGGTTGCAGCCGTTCATCACCGGACAGCCCAGCAAGAAGCTCGCCGTAGAGCAGGTGAGCTGCCCTTCATTTTTTCCCCACATCTGCTCTTCGTCTCCCGCCACCCCGCTCGCTTTCTTCGCCTTCCTGCTCGCTCTCTTAGACGCTGCTCGCCCTCGTGCACTTAACAGATGCACACACGCAGTCACGCAGTCAATCACTCGCACAGATAAGTTCCCGCTCAGATTTTCTCCCCTCTCTAAAACACTCTTATCTGCCTCTCTCTCTTTCACTCACACTCACACACACACACACACACACACACACGCACACACTACATTAACCATATTGTTGCAAGTGGGATTTACCAGAAACTGTCTGCAGTTTAAAAAAAAAGGTCTAAAGTCAGCAAGTAATGATTGATATTTGGGAGTTTGGAGAATGAAGTAGAATTTGCTGTGAAGTCTGTGCCAAACAAACCGACAAAAAGCAGAAACGACACATTAACTGGGGAGCAGGTCAGAAAATAAGAAAGCTACAAAAACATGATGAAATATACATAGGAATGTGTCAACCATCAAAATCCCGGTCTTTCATAATGTATCTTTTGTATCTGGCAACTAATTTCGATTAAACAGACATTTAACTCGACTAGTCTGAAAGTAACGAACACAAACACTGTCTGAAAATATATCGCCTGTATTTTAACAGCCATTTGAACATATTACTAATCAAAAGATAATCGGCCCTGAGCGGGATCACAGCGTCTGTGGGCTGGGACCGTAAACCATCTTGGTTTATCTGAGGGTGGCTAACGTTAGCAGTGCTAGGTTAACGTCGTTAACATGTCCGCCGTGCTGAATGTGGTCACGCTCCAGTCCAGAGGTCATATGACAGTTTATCAAAACACTACACTTCTAAAAACAGCCCTTCTAGAAACATTTTCTTCTATTGAGCAATAAAATCTGCCAGTGGGGTCGGACAATTCTGCTTGGCTAGAACTCTTAAAACTAGCATGAAAATCTAACCACTGAAAGACTAACAGGCCTCAAAACTGGAAAAAAATGGCAAAAATGTAAGAAAGTTGTTCTTATTACAGATGATGAAAACTCTGATTTAAGATTCTTAAAATAAGCATTTAGGTCACTTTAATCTAAGATTAATAATTAGCAAGGAAATGACTTAATGTCTTAAATGAAGACTCCAGAAACGTTCTCTTACTTTCTCTTAAACTGAGAACTTTAACCACCGTTGTTACACGTAAAGTTGAGTTCAATATTAGCTGTAATATCTTATTAAGACACAGTTAGATGTATTTTCTTAAAACAAGATGACTTGAAAAGATTATTTATGTTTTCAGACAAAAAATAAGACCTGCTGGTCTTACAAGCTGCCATCTTTTAGCTATATCCACTATATTACTTCCACTAGTGGCGGGTGTCTGTGTAACATCTTTTATTTAACAGTTAACTGTTGTTTTATAACAAAGGCCTCCTTTAATAAAATATGAATAATAGTTTAACTGACTAGCACGGGTAGGAATGTTTAAAACCACTAGTCGACTAATGACGTCTTCCTCTTTAATATCTTTGAGTGTATGCACAGAACTGTCATCAGTGTGAGGAAGGTACTCAATTAAATGAGTAGATTTTTGTGTGTGTGTGTGTGTGTGTGTGTATATATATATGTATAATATATGTATATATATGTATATAGTATTGATAATGACTACTTGTAATAATGATATGTATTTAAGTGTATATGATATATTATATGTAATATACATATATATATTGCTAGATAATAAAGTAGTAATGAATATAGTATATGTGATAATGTAGTTATAATATTATAATATCTATATATGTATTTAGATTGAAATGTACTATGTATATATAACCTGATAGTAATCGATCCATATATGTATATATATGTATAAAATGTATAACTATGTGATTATAATGTATATTGTGATAACTGTACATAATATGATAGTGTAATTATGTGTATAATATATATATATTATTGTATACTGTATATGTATATATATTGTATATGTATAATGTATATATATAGTATAATATTATATAGGAACTATATGTATATGTCATTGTTATTAATATATGTATCATGTTAGTTATGAGATAGGTATATACAGTTATATGTATAAAAATATGTTGTATATAACATGTTGTATAGATTATGTACATTATAATTATATATTACGATGATGTAATATATTACTAGTATATGATATGTATGTATATATTATGATATAGATATATATAATACTGTATAATAATATATAATAAAATAGTATATATACTATAAGTATATATATAGGTATAATAAATATGTATCATGTTAGATGAAAATATAGTATAATATAGATAATTATATAGTAATAATGTTATATATGATATGTAATAGTAATATATATGTAATATAATGTAAATAAGATGTATATATATAATATAGTATATGTAAATATAATAAATGATAGTATATTGTATATATATACGATATATTATATAGTAGTATATAATAATGATATTAATAAATAGTATGATAGATATATATACTTAATATAAGCAGCAAAAGTCTTAAAGAATAAGGCTGCGATTATTCTACATTTTTCTTCCAATCAACAAATCCCATCGAAAAACCAAACGTATTCGTCTCACCTTTGACTTCTAATCTCTGTCTGTAGCTCTCAGCCACAAGCCCACTGGTTCCCACTGGTTCCCACTGGAGGTGTAAAACGTCTCATTATTATATAGTTAGATTACTGGAAAAGCCTCAGTCATTTCCTAAAATAGCTGCTCTCTGTAGTTTTTATACCGTCACTCAAACAGGACTGAACAGTGCATTTGTTGGGGACTATTTTCAGCCGCGGATTAATCCACATTTGGTGCTGTGGTGAGTATTTGGAGCACAGAATCCATTCATTTACAAAGGTCTTGTAGTTTATAGAGATCCAACATCTCCTGACAGCCCACAACCACAGACAACAAAATATATTCAAATGAGACTGGAGCAACAGTGGGTTGGGCATCCAGGAGGCTGCTGTGGAGTTATTATGGATTATTATTATGGGTTATTATTATTATATGGATTATTAGTAGTAGTAGTAGTATTATTATTAGTGGTAGCCACAGTTGCTCAAAAGCTCAACTCATAACAATTTTAGCAAACACAGTTAATCCGCTCATCAGTTTTCGGCTCATCTCGCTCTATGTTGCATTAATTGATTTAATCTCTTACCAAGAATTATTATTGTGTACCACTGGGAAGTACAGACAAAAATATGATATAAATGTAATATAATTGTAAGCCTTATTGTCCCTACTGGTTTTCTGTCATTCTTTGATCAGCATGACAATGAAAAAGATATTAAATAGCATCCTTTGTGGTATTAAAAAAGTCTCTATTAAATTTAGTGAACACTGACTGGAGCTCTGTTGCTCGGAGGAACATCACACTGTGGATACGCACAACGCTTGTTAGCAGGATACAATAAGAAAATATAGACATATCTTTGAACTATTTTAGAACATAGAAACCCAGAGGGTTTGTGTGTGCACATAATGAAGCTGTGAGTACACCTGGAGACGGGCTGTAATTCCCCGTCAGTCCCTCCCAGTCGGCCGTTCAAAGCTGATTGCTGCGATCCCCTGCAGAGCGGACGGGGATGAATAAATCTTCACTCAGGCCGTGTGAAAGTTGAACCCTTACTTCCTCTTTTGTTTGTCCTTCCATTATTACTCCTCCCTCACTCTCGTCCTCCCTCCGGGGCGTTCACTGCTCCTAAAAAATCTCCAATAGGGTCTTAAAATAAATACGGCCTTAAACCTGAACATAAAAATGTCTTAAACGGCACTTTTGGAAGCGTTTTTTTTTTGATGGGCTTCTGTTGGCCAGTCGCCGGCTCTCAGATGAATTCACAGAGGACAAGGTTAGTGGTACAATGTGTCCTATCTGCTTTACAAACCCACTTAAACTTCATGTCTTTGAACAGTTAATTTCCGGATGTCCTCATTCTGCCCATTTATAGCCTCACAGCTCTTACCAGCCATCTTCAGGGAGAAATAGGCCAGTTCTTCCAACTTTGTGTCTTAATTTGATTTTAAATTGGACCCAAATTCAATCACAGGTAGCTTTACATCATCTTCAGAGTCTTAACTTTGGCTTTCTGTACTTCATATACAATCTGTACTCCTCTTTCTCCCCCATATCTCATTTTACACATTCCTGAATGTCCTATCTTCTGTTCCCGCTTCGCGCCAGTGCCGATCTGTCTCATTTCTTATGATTTACTTACTCTCTCTTCAACACTTGCTCTTCATCCAGAAGTAAAGTGGCAGGAGTTATTTTGGGAGTCCAGCGTTAGGTGGCCGACAGTCGCAGCACTTAAAATCTTGGGTAACACTCTCCTGAGGACACAAGATGAACAACTGTGTCAGAACTCATCCGGTTCTTGGGGAAAAAAAAAAAAAGCCAAAGTTAGAAGCCTGTGGACATTAAAACTGAAGAGAAGAAGTCAACTACAAGTCCCATGGTGCATTTCTGTAAGAAACATCCAATCACAGACCTTTAAATTATGTTATGTGATGGTGAGCCGAAGTTAAATATTAAATGTCCCAATTGCAGCAATGAAGCATTTTCATGTTTTTTGACTGGCTTCCTCTCCATAGTAACAGCAACTGAGGCTCATGGGTATTGTAGTTTTTATATAGCAAACTAATGGAAAATACTTGATTTCTAAGGAACACAGTTAAAGCAGGATTATTTTCCAAAGGGTAACAGTGTAAGTTGCTGAGTAGAACGACTGAAACTGCTGTTTTTATAATCTACTCGGTGATTAAGGATTTATTTCACGGTGAGTTAGTGATTGTTGGAAGGACTAACAAAGACGTTTTTTATGAGTTATATTTTATTTTCTGTCCACTTTGAATGAAGTTACGTTGGTCTGTGAGGTAAAATCCCTGTTTTTGTCTCTGGTGTCTGGTGGTGACTAATAGCAATATTACAGCTGTTTGTGGTTAAATTAAAGGTCTGTTTCTGTAGGGATCATT